TAATTTTCGCATACTTATAGTTCAATTATCCAAGAAACCCTATGCTATATATATTCTACACTTCATCAGTGACCCTAATTTAAAATTTAAGAGTTCTAGCTCTACAGATTCGCCAAATACAAATGATATCACATTTAGTACTTTTTGTACCGTTGTAGTACGAATTTCTAAAACCCAGATTTATCAGTCACCTTTGGACCAAGAGTGACCCTCAACCAAATATTCAAGATTCTAACTTCAGCCGTTTCGTCTGGGCGTTGATGAATCGTTAAGTCAGTCAATCAGTCAGTCACTTTACTCTTGTATTAGTATAGATATTGTCAATGACACCATATACCTAAAATACAATCAATTCAAATCTTTTGAATTGAGGTAATATAGTATAGTATATCTCTCGAAGTAAACATTCAAAACACAGATACAAATGTCTTCTTATTTTAACCCCTCTTTCTAATTTGTTGAAATTTTCTCATAATTATCGAAAACATTTAAATTTGTTGCACAGTGTTATTTTATTTTAACATATGGCTAACTGAACAAACAGCCTCTTTTATAAATATGTCAATCTATATACATAGGTACGTAAATATGTATGGAACCTCCAAGAAATAATTTCGATTGTAGAAAAGGTATCAACAATGAATACAAATAGTTTTTCAGCCACCAAAACAAAATTCGATTCAATTCATTAAAAAAAAAATCCCCATAAGTATGTATGAGAGATTATGTGCACTGAATATGTACTATATACATACATATGTATATACATATTTCTTTTTATTTAGCTCTTCTGTGTTTTGATTATATTATTTTGTTGATAAACAAATCGTAGTCTGTTTTGAACTTTTTTGTTTTCATTTTTTTATTTATTTTTGATTATTTCTGCTCTGTGCTTGCTTGCGCGTTGTGGCTGCCTGGCTGGCTGACGTAAAACACAATTCAAAATAAAAAAGAGGCCTGCTGCCGCCTGCCCCAAAGATAAAAACAAAAAGAATTGTGTTAAACATTAAGAGAATGTATATGTAGATAAAATGTTTATACGTGAATTGCCAAAAATCTTTTCTATTAACAAGGATTTTGAGAGATTAATACCAAAGAGTTTTAGAAAAAATCGTGACGACGTTCTTTTAGAAATTAGAAGGGCAGGCAATCGTGATATCGTAGATTCTGTTAAGGTGTATTAGTTGTTTGGATCCGTTACATATTCAGTATGCTCTACAGTATATCTGTTTGTATCAAACCTTGGTATCACACAACAGCAGAATGAGTCCGTACTTATTTTTTATATTAATGTCCGTCTTTGGTGTTTTAATTCACGATAGAGCTTTGAAATTTTACCCACATATTGCTAATATTCTTGGATTTGTTTGGTATTGAATTGGCATATCCTCCATCTAACGGTACCACCTCATTTTTTCGCATTTTCCAAATGAAGAAACTGTAATTTGACATTGCCTGTTCTTGGGGGGAGGGTTAACAATTTGGCCCTCGATTTTCTATTATTATGGATTATAAATCGTGCGGATACGCATATTTTTCAAGATTCAGTTTGACTTTAGGTTAAGAAGTAACTGAAATATGACAATTTTGACTATTGGTGTCGCGGACAGTCAGCTGGTTCAAAGCGAACCAGCGCCGACTGCGAGAGAGGACGACCTTGCGTCGATCTTTGGTAACATAAATGAAAATATAACCTGGCAAATTGAATATTCAGGCTAATTGAGGAATATGGCAGCTTTCCAAAGTCAGATAAGAATCGACAGGGCACGTCAAATATTTTAGCTGTGGCTTGTGGAGGCACAGAGGTTAAAAGTGAGTGTTTGCGCATCACTGTTGACATATGGGGGACGTCAAATATGTTAGCTGTGTGTGGGCTCCTCCGAAGCGGAACACGTCGTAGATACGTGAGTTTAGATAAAAGTGAATGCACCAAAGCCACTTTGCAACTCTCGATGACGGCTCCTGCACCCAAAAGTACCAAGCAGCAAAAAAAAAAAAAAAAAAAAAAAAATATTGATAGAAAAGCTTTATCGAAGAGCTATTTTTATTTCCAGCGTACCGTAGATAAGGACCACAGAGAAGCAATTCAGTTCGATAAAGAAGCTCCTAAAGTTCGAGAGAAAGAACTATCCCCACAAACTCTCTAGGGATCGACCGAATTCCTACATGGGACCAAAGACCGGAGTTGTGTCAGCATCGGTGACTAAGATGGAAGTTTTTCTAACTGAAATAAAATCAGTCACAATGCCTATAGAAATGAGGAGGATAAGATCGACGGAGAAACAGCAACTAGAGGCAACGAAGCTTTCATTGAGAAAAGCAGCTTAGCCCGAGGTTTCGCATGTTCTAGTGACAGTCAGGAAGGATAGTGGGAAGGCTGTCATTGGGAATACAAAAGTCTTATCTATTGACAAAGGCGGCTTTAATAGCGGATAAAGAAGGAAGTGGGAAGACAACCATGGTGAAGACGAAAGTCCAATCTAGCGGCAAGTCACAGCAACCTTCGAAGCCCGCTGCTAAAGAAACGACATCTCGACAGATGGTACCAGATGACCACCGAGTAGCCATAATTGACAAAACTGACCCTGATGGTAGGATCAGTAAAAGTCATCTGAAGATTATAATTTTAACGCGCGCGGTTGATCGTGATCGGTTGCACAAAGAACCCAAGGTCATAAATTGCGGAGTCCACCGACTACCATATTAGGTTAGGAAATGGCCTTGAACCTCTTGGGGAGGGTGGAATTCTAGCGACTGTTTCCGTGAATGAGATCCCTAGATCCCAAGTCCTATGATGGGACTAGTCGGTCCATCACTGTTCAAAAACTTGTAAATTGTATATGAAACGTACAGAGTATCCGATTAGGTCCATCTATTGTAATCCGTAATCGGAAATCTATTAGACAATTTCTTCTGGTAACTTCCCCCAAAAGTCAGGATAAGTGTATACTACATATGACATAGGCTGATGAGGGTTCATATCTATCGGTATTTGTGTTTTAATTTCAATGAAATATTCATGAATAGCTTTAGGTTGGATAAAAAATCAATTTTTTGGACCCGATAATCCCGCTCTCTAATTACTGATTGCAAATCAATGTACATTCCGATTATATTAATAATCATATATAAGAAAACCAGTCCTGCCATACCCCGGAGTAGGGTATAAAATGTTCGGCCCCAAACCATAATAACGCAATTTTGTCTATCTCTCCCGCTCACAAGCGTATTTCTTCGAAGAACTGTCACTTTTTTGCCTATTCTTTTGCGTATGTTGTTTTTTGTTATTGTTCTCTTGTTGTGCTATGCCTCTTCGGGTTATTGCTGCTTAGTATATATTTTCTTTTTGTTTTTGCCCAGCCATTTGATGATTTGCTATGCAGACCCGACCAACAACATAAGCACCAGCAAAGTTTAGTATTGGCTTGGCACAGCTGCTGGTTAGTAAAGCAACTACAACAGGGGGAAAAATAAACAAAAAGTGTTTCGATTGTTTGGTGGTCTTTTTTTGTTAAACAACAATTTGGTGTATTTTATTATACAACAACAATAACAACAAACATTTGTTATTATATCAGTGGTGATTGTTTTGGTAGAGTTTAAGCCCTGGTTTTTGTGGGCAAATTAAGTAACAAACAATTCTGGTTTGAAGAATGAAGAGTGTTTTTTTATTTTTCGGACCTCAAATTAGAAACAAAGGCCGTCTCTCTTTGATTTTGGTGTGTTCCCTTTTATTTCATTTTTTAGTTATTTGTGCAATAGAAAATCGAAATACCATATTTTATTATTTCCTGGAGATTTTGTACTCCTTGTTTTAAATATATATAAAACTGTCTGTATGTATATTAATGTATAATGCGCTGATGACTACGAAACTGTATGTGATATGTATGTTGTGAGCAAAACAGAAATGATAAAAATGTGTATCTCTTTCAAGGTCATTGCAAATGAAAAGAATAAAACAAAAAAAGAAATCACCTTGTTTTCTGCTTTCTATGCTGCGCCGCCAAGCAGGGGAAACAAGACAACAAAAAGAACAATTCCTTTGTTTTGGTTTGGGAAATACCAATGGAGCAGACAAGAGAAAGAGAGGAGGGAGGTTGGTCAACACAGTTTTGAAAATTTTTTATATATCTTTGTTGGGATTAGAGGGAAAAGTCTTTCTAGTCACAAATATTTCGATAAAAATGCTATCAATCCTAGAAAAAAAAAATATTGTACTGTCCAACTCGTTTTATAGATTATGACGATGTTAACCAAAAGTCCCGATAAGACCTCTGTCCTTAATTTGATATTGATTATAACAACTATAGCTAATTGCGAAAATTTTCACCGGATTTCTTATCGTCGTTAGAAGTGATTTAGAATGTAAATAAAGGTGGAGTTTAATATCAAGGTTTTGGAACCAATAAATTTTACAAAATCCCACAAATAATATGAAGATTTCCTATAGAAAACCTTATTCAGCCAGGCTGAATTGAAGATTTCCTATAGAAAACCTTATTCAGACAGGCTGAATTGAAGATTTCCTATAGAAAACCTTATTCATCCAGGCTGAATTGAAGATTTCCTATAGAAAACCTTATTCAGCCAGGCTGAATTGAAGATTTCCTATAGAAAACCTTATTCAGACAGGCTGAATTGAAGATTTCCTATAGAAAACCTTATTCAGCCAGGCTGAATTGAAGATTTTCTATAGAAAACCTAATTCAGCCAGGCTGAATTGAAGATTTCCTATAGAAAACCTTATTCAGCCAGGCTGAATTGAAGATTTTCTATAGAAAACCTAATTCAGCCAGCCTGAATTGAAGCTTTTCTATAGAAAACCTTATTCAGCCAGACTGAATTGGAGATTCCCAACCCAAAACCTTATCCAGGCAAGCTGAATTAAAGATTTTCTAACCAAATCTTTATTCAGCCAGGCTGAATTAAAGTTTACCCATAGAAAACCTTGTCCAAATAATTTTTTCATTTTCCAGACTACAACAAAAATAACAAATATGGACTCCTTTCTAAGCCTCTTCGATCCCAATCAACCCGATGATGGTTTCGATGAAGAACCAGACATACGAAATAATAACATTTCTTCTTCCGGCTATTCATCACAAAGTGGCCAACAAAGTACCAATTCCACATCGGGCAGTGGCAGCAGTAGCAGTGACAGTGAATTAGATGGCAAAAACAATAAAATCATAATTGATTTTGATCAGGGAATGCTGCCGCCCGAACCTCAACTGGGCAATATTGAATACAAACTGAAGCTAATAAATCCCTCGAAACAGCGTTTTGAACATTTGGTAACGCAAATGAAATGGCGGCTACGCGAAGGCCACGGTGAGGCGATCTATGAAATTGGTGTCTCCGATTCGGGACATTTGCACGGCCTCAATGAGAAAGACATGAACGCCTCTTTGTGTACACTAAAACAAATGGCCCATAAATTGGGTGCCAGCACTTCGGTACTGCGACGGAAATATGTGGCAGGACGCAGATCGGTGGCTGAGGTATTGGTACGAAAAATACCCGATGATCAACACAACATTGAGGTACGTGTAGCGGTATTGGGTGGTGCTGATGCTGGTAAATCAACACTACTCGGCGTACTTACACAGGGTGAATTCGACAATGGACGGGGGCGAGCGCGTCTGAATATGTTCCGACACATGCATGAAATACAATCGGGACGCACCTCATGTATATCTCACGAAACCCTGGGTTTCGATACCCAGGGTAATATCATCAACTATAAATACAATGAAATGATGACGGCCGAAGAGATCAGTGATCGCTCAACAAAATTGGTAACCTTCATGGATTTGGCTGGACATCGGCGGTACATGCGTACAACAGTACAAGCCCTATCGGGCTACTCACCCCATTATGCCATGCTAGTTGTCTCTGCAGGTGGTGGCTTCAATGGTACCAGCCAGGAACATTTGTCTATAGTGCGTGCCCTTGATATGCCCTTCTTTGTTGTTATCACCAAAACTGATATTACATCGCCCGACCAGACAATACAGGAACTCAAGAATCTACTAACAAACATTGGCTGCCGCAAGGTACCCTTCGTTGTCACCAATACCGATGAAGTTATTTCAGCTGGCTCAAATCAATTATCCGAAAATATTGTACCGATATTTTGTGTCTCGAATGTAACCGGCTCTGGATTAAATCTAGTTACACGATTCCTCTACGTTCTCTCGCCCAGTGTTAGTAATTCGGAAAAGGAACGTTTGGAACAGGAATCATGTGAATTTCACATAGATGAAATATTTCGAGTGTCGGAGGTGGGTCCTGTAGTCGGTGGTCTATTGGTTAAGGGGGTACTAACCGAAAATATGTCGATGAAAATTGGTCCATTGCCATGTGGTAGTTTTCATTCGGTTACCGTACACACAATACATCGTAATAAGGCACCATGTCGTGTGGTAAGAGCGGGACAGAGTGCTTCGCTGTCATTTACACCAAATCAACAGTTGCCGGCGCTAAGGAGTGGCATGGTGCTGTTGGCCGACACAGGAAATCCCGATGATGAACCATATGGAACGTTGTTCTTTCAGGTGAGTGGAGGAAGTTAAAAAATTAATAATTTTGAAAAATAAAAATAGGGAATTTTTGATATTACAGAGAGGAGGAAGAATATCTAATTTCTCCAGTAAGATAACCAGGCGCCTGTAAAATATAATTGTTTCCTATTAGAATATTAATTGGTCTCCTATTAGAAGGTCAATTAGTGTCCTATTAGAAGAGTAATAGGGTTCTTATTAGAAGACCACTAGGTGCCCTATTAGAAGAGCAATTGATCTGCTATTAGAAAAACCATTGGTCTTTTATTGGAATACCGATTGGTCTCCTATAAGAATACCTAAATACAAAATAACATATCGGTTCCCTATAAGGCTGACGTCAGAGTGCGCGCGAGAAGCGATGCTATGATATGCCGCTAGGCGACGCTATAAACCTCTGCGTGTGTTTTCTTATGGCATAGCGCAAAAGCTGTCAGAGTGGATGCTACGCTACAAGCGAGACAAAGCTAGTGCAAGCGATAAAGCGTGTTGTGCAATGGTTTATAGCAAGAGCTCGCGTTGGCTCTGTTTGAGTTTCTTTGTTTATTATTTTTATTTACCGTTATTGATCGGTTTTTGGCATCGTTCTTTTGCATCTTATCGAATTTTATTTTTTTGTGAACTCATGCCCAAATTTAAATAAATAATAATAAAATAATTTGAAAAAAAAATACGGGAAATCGATGCAGAAATATTTGTTAATTTGTTGAATTTTTATTTAAAAATTACTTTGAAAATATTTTGCGATATGAAAAATTCTTCGTCTGAATTCTTCTTGAGTCAATAAAGACCAGTTTACAACAGAAAAGGCGATGTAAACCAAGAACACGCTTTGCTCTCTATAGCACTCACTCTGACATACTATAGCATTGAAGTAGCATGAACTATTATAGCATGTAGTATCGCATCGGTTCTCGCTTGCACTCTGACGTCAGCCTAAGAAGATCAATAGGTCTTTAATTAGAAAAACAATTGGACGCCCATTAGAAGAGCAATTAGTCTGCTATTAGAAAAACAATTTGTCTCCTATTAAAAGAGAAATTGGTCTCCAATAAGAAGATCTAATAGAACTCCTATTCGAAGACTTAATGGTCTCCTATAAGAATACCTAAATGTAAAATAAACAATCCGAATTGGTCTCCTATTAGAGGAGAATTTGTTCTCCAATAAGAAAATCCAATAGAACTCTTATTAGAAGACTTAATGGTCTCCTATAAGAATACCTAAATGTAAAATAATCTATTCGTTTCCTATAAGAAAATCAATAGGTCTCATATTAGAAGAACAATTGGACTCCTATTAAAAGAGCAATATATCTCTTATTAGAATACCCACAGGTATTATATTAGAAAAGAAATTGGTCTCCTATTAGAATCTAATTGGTCTGCTATTAGAAAAGTAATTGGTTTTCTAGTAGAAGAGCAACCGTTCTCTTATTAGAATATCAGTTGGTGTCCTATTAGAAAAGCAATTGGGCTATAGTATGATGTTAGGAAAAAATACACCTATTAGAATATCAAATGGTCTCCTAAAAAAGACCTAATTGGTCTCCCATTAGAAAAGTAATTGGTCTCCAATAAGAAGACCGGTCTGCTATAGGAAGACCTAAATTTCCTAGAACAATTATTGGTCTCCTACAATAAGATCTAATTGATCTGCTTTTAGCACAATAATTGGTATCCTATTAGAATATCAATTGGTTTAATTTAAGAATACCTAATAGGATGTCTTCTATAAGAAGCCAAATAAGAAAACCTAAATGGTCTCCTATAAGAAGCCTTTTGGGTCTCCTATAAGAAGGCTTTTAAGTTAATTTAATTTTTATTCAACAATGACATGTATACAAAGGTCTAGAATACCTATTGGTCTCCTATAAGAAGACTTTTTAAAAGAGGCCTATAGGTCTTCTTATAAGAAGCCATAATAGTCTCTTATAAGAAGACCTATTGATCTTTTATTGGGATAGCAATTGATCTCTAATAAGAAGGTCAATTGGTCTCTTAAAAGAAGAGGTCTTCTTTGGTCCCTCATTGAAATAGCCAATGGGCTCCTGTAAGAGGGAGTATATTAAGACCTATTGTTCCCCTATTACTCTCCTATAAGAACACAGATTTTGGAATTATTTGCTGACTTACTGTTCTTCATTAATTTTTATTAAAATTTGTTTTTCTTTCATTCTCATTCCAGGCCAAAGTATCGGTATTATTTCATGCTACAGCTATATATGTTGGATTCCAGACTACCGTACACATTGGTAGTATAAGACAAACGGCCATAATACGTGGCATTATGGGAGGTGAGAAAATCGGCACAAATGACAGTGCATCAGTAATGTTTCAATTTGTTGGACATCCGGAATATGTACGGCCCGGTATGCGAGTATTGTTTCGTGAGGGCTCGAATAAAGGTATAGGTGTGGTGACACAAGTATTTCCCCTAAATAAGACGCTAAATAATTGTTAAGCTACCAAAAAGCCGAAATCCGTTGCCGTTAATCATTTAAGTTTTACTATAAAATAGAGCACGAGAGAGAGAGAGAACTTCGTGATTCTGTATTATTAATCCACAAATTGTACCTCAAATGATATTGTAGGACATATGTACGTACGTTCGTTTTGACTTATTACCAATATAATTGTAATATTTAAAATATAGCTAACTAGAGAATTATGACTTGAGTTTCAGTTTCAACTGTGATTTCTGTTTATTTCAGTTTTTTAGTTAAGCCATAAAGAGTTTTGAAATTATTTAATTTAAGTTTGTTTTTTTGTAACTATTTTTTTTATTCTGACGTTAAATGAATTGAATTCATTAAGCTATCCTATGTACATCCCAAGGATATATATAAAATAATATTGATCTGTTTTATTTTTTGGGGGGGATTTTGAAAATGCCCTCCTCTAACACTGTCCCTTTTTTAATACATTTAATTCTTGAGCCATTACAGATGTACTTAAACAACAAGTATTTAATGTCTTAAACAAATATCAACAATTACATAGCAAATATGTATGACAAACTGTATTTATCAATTCTAATTTTTTTGTTTTGGGAATCTGCTATTGTTTTCCTTTGTGTTCAATTTAAAAATAAAATAAAAAACAACTCTGTAAAATATAACTTGTATGTAAATGGAAAAAAATAAATAAATAATAAATTAATAACAAAAACAAAACAGAAAATTAACAATTCGTATTTTTTTATTTATTATTTTAACATTATTCTTATTGGGGTTGTTGTTGTTGTTAAAATATTCTACTATCTTTGGGATTTTTCTGTCGTTGTTGAAGTTGTTTCCCTTGTCATTGGAGTATCATCATCATCTTCTGCATTTCCTTCAATTTGTATTGCTTTCTCGCCAACATTTGAATGGAAGCGAAATAGTACAGGTATCTCGCCTAGGGATGGATTACCATTTGCTTCCAACAGACGTATCCATGATAACAGAGAATCTTTGGTAGATGTTCCCGTTGCACAAATTGCAAATATTGTACCATCGTCTTGTTGATGTACTGATCTCACCTTACCCACTTGATGGGGTTTTCGTGGAACCTTACCAAAGAAAGGTACATTTAGGTGGGTAACATCTGGAAAAAAAAATTAATAAATAAATTACTTTTTATTTTTATATAACCTAATTTTTGTATACCCTAATTATAAAAGATCTCATTTTATTTTATAAAAATAATTTTTAAGGTCTGACTCCAGGGTATTAAAAATTGCATAGGCCTTCACTAAGCGGAGATTTAATTTCTGAAAAGCTACTTTTTTTCTATAAAAAAATCCTCAGTCTCGGAAAAGTGATTTTTTATTAGAAAAAAATCTCAGTCCCTGAAGAAAAAATTGTTCAGTCACTGAGGAGTTATTTTCTATAGAAGGCAAATTCCACCTGAGGAATGATTTATTTCTATAGAAATCCTCAGTATAAAGCACGAAAAAAAAATTCTCAAAACCCTGAGGAATAACTTTTTTCGTAGAAAAATTCCTCAGTTCCCTGAGGAATATTCCTCCATTCTCTGAAGAATGATTTTTTATAGGAAAAAAGTTAGGTTAATTTTTAGCTAAAGAAAAAATATTCTGTCCCTGATGAAAAAAATTCAGTTGAAGAATGATTTTTTCTGTAGGAAAAAAAACCTACCCTGAGGAATAATTTTTTCTATAGAAAAAAAAAAATTATCAGTCCCATGAGGAATGTTTTTTTTTCTTAGGGAAAATTCTTATTCCCTTAGGTGTGAATTTCTTCCTATAGAAAAAATTCCTCAACCCCTTAGCTGTAATTTTTTCTAAAGAAAAAATCTTTTGTCCCTATAGAAGTGATAGTCCCCAGTCCCTGAAAAGTGATACTTTTCTATAGAAAAAATTCCTCAGTTATATTTTTCTACAGAAAAACAAATTCCTTAGTCTTTGAGAATTGATTTTTTTTCTATAAAAAATTATCTCAGTCCTTCTTGATATTTAATTTTCTTTTTACACACTCACCATCATCATCGATATGTTGATTTCGAAGTGTATTTAAAAATTCCACATCCGGATCAGCACGTAATGTAAAATAATTTATGGTACGATTTCTCAACCAAATCATAAATGGCCCCTCAATGTAGACAGCCTTATTGCGGGGATGTTCTTTAAGTAATTGTGATTGATCCGGACTCATACCACTAACAATCCATGTTTGATCCAAAGCATCTTTAACATCCTTCGTATCAAATATACTAATCTGTGAACGTGCATCTACGGTGCACATACGTTCTACAGCTAATTTGGCCACAGTTAAGGTATCATCCGGCACCGGATTAGGTAGAGGCCATGGTGAGGCATTCTTAAATTTAGGCATCCAATACATCATACGCCAATATTTACGTAATGGATGACCCTGTTTACCGAAAATATTCAATAACATCGCCTCCATTTCGTAATCGGGCATAACACCCAAATCTTCCATTTGTTCTAGTAAATCTATAATACATTGTTGTTGTTTGGGATAATGCATAAATTCCGCTTGGAATATATTTTTCGGTATCATCTTGCCCTTGGGCATAACATTAATCAGCGCCTTGTACACTTCCAAATCATGTTCGACACCAAATTCGGACATGTGTTTCATGGCAGCATAAATGAATTCGACATGATTGCGTCGATGTACATCCCGTTCGGAAAATATATTTACCATACTAAGATAAACATCTTTGGTTTTTTCCGATGCTGAGGCGAAGGGATTTTTGACAGCAGGTACGAAAGATTTTATGGGTGGTCGTTTACTGCGATGTTGACCTTTTGATTTATTCGAACTTGGTTCATCGTTCTCGAAATCTTGTTCGCCATTAGGATTATCGGTTTGTTTTTTATTTTGTTGTTGCTGGTGTGTTTTGGTACAATAACTTTTGGCCAAATTTGTTAATGTAACACCACCGCCAATGCCAGCATTAGAATTTGTGGTGGCAGCAAGAAATCTCTGTTGCGGGCAATTGTTCCGAACAAGTATCTGTAGCCTTCTTATCATATTTACTGCAAAATAAAATTATTATTCAGCTTATATTTAATTATTTTAATTCAAAATTATACCCCTCCGAAGTACTAGACTAGATCCCAAACGAAGAAAAAAAAATCAGTTGCAAAACATTTTCCGTTAACAGCTGTTTTGCCGCTAAATCATATGGCATGAATTAAATGGCAGAGCAGAACAAATGGTTAGTAAAACGTAACGTAGTCAGGGTTTCCAATTAATTTCCGAAAGACTTGTGAATGTTGCTGCAAGAACGCTTATGCCTGTGGCCACAAAGGAAAACACTATTTTCAAAGTCGATTGATTCTTGGTGCCAACATCTGTTTTTTTGAATGAATTTCTGTGAATAACCTCTTTTTTGAAATACAAATATTAAAAGAAAATCAAATATAAAAAATTTAGGCTAATATCTTTCAAGGTTTCTATTATTTTATATTCATTTTTCTTACTTTTTCTATAATAGTCGCTTGGCGCCAAATTTATGTTAAGTGTAGTAATGACACATATGTTATTACTTTGACTGATTACTTTACTCATAGTTTGTGACAGAGAGGCAGCCAAATTGCCTCTCACAGCTGTTTTTGTTTTGATTACGCTTGACGCTTGGCGCCACAATTGTGTGAGCGCATTGATGACTCTTACGTTGCTACTTTGACTAATTACGTTACTCGCACTCTCTGATTATCCACCGAGAGCTCACCCAATCCTCTCTCTCACAGCTGTTTTTGTTTTGATTACGAGAAAAAAACTGACTGCCAACCGGTGGAATTTCAAGTCCTGTGGAATTTCTGAATAAAACATTCTTCGAAATGCATAAAATACCAAGGATAATAACAACAACAATGCACATCTCAAAGAATATACCCCGCCATCATGCCATCTACGCCACACAGAGGCGTCAAGTGTCCGCCTTATATATAACTGGTGACAAAGCTCGAGAGAATTATGTGACCATACAACCATACCTTGATTTTAAAGGTACATTTGAAAATATGGAACAATTACAGCATTCGATAAAGAAAAGGAATTTGGCAATTGATTTAAATAAAGTCCAACAAATGTTTGAAAATTATACAAATAAAGCCAAGGAAATAGATAAGGTGGAACAAGAACGGGAACTAATTGCCAAGCAGCTGAAAGATATGGGTAAAGTGAAAGATAACAACAACACGGAGCTAATGAATCAATTAAAAGACAAAGGCAAGGAGTTGAGAAATAAACTGAAATCCCTTAAAACCGATTTCTATCCCATTGAAGATGAATTCTGCCAGGCGTTTCTACATTTACCCAATCTCTTGGATCGACAGTGCCCCGAGGGTGAACATGAAAGGATTTTATATCGCAGTAAGTTAAATGATGACCAATCCGCCACCACTCAATCACATTTGCAACAAAGCGATCAAATCAATTTCATTGATAACTCACGGTATTATCTAATGAAAGAGGCGGCGAAATTCGATTTATATTGTACCGATGCTTTGGTAAAATATTTCCTGCAAAAAGAAAAATTCATACAAACCTGTAATCCAGATTTTGTACGGTGTGTCCTGCTGGAGGCAAATGCTACACCATTGGATCTGTATCACAAGGTGGAGGAACAACATTTACAAAATAAACTAAATTCGGCATATCTTACGGGTGGTGGGGCATTTGAAAGTTTCCTTGGGGCGGTAACAAAATTATGTGTCTATCCTTCGGTTATACCATTGAGGTATATCTGTAGTGGTAGATTATATGAAAAATCATGTGAAGCCGTGGAACAATCACTCTATACTGCCACCCAAACAAATGCTGTCCAAACATTTGTGGCCTGTGAAAATGCCCAACAGAGTGAGGAACATATGGATGCAATTTTAAATCGTTGTGTTGATTTTTATAAGACATTTGATAATCTACATTTTCGAGTGGTGTATGCAAAGGCTGCTGATTTAATGCCTTCGGAAAGTTTGCGTGCCCAAATTGAAGTCTATTCACCCCATCAAAAACGTTATATTTGTGTGGGCCGCTTAAGCAACTATAGCGACTATGTTAGTAAACGGATATTGTTTACAATGCGCGAACAAAAGGATTACAGATTTCTGCATTTAATTGGTGGTCCAATATTGTATACCACACGCCTTATTGCCGCCCTTATTGAGTGTCAACAGCCGTTGGATTATAAGAAGTTGATGCAGAATTTAAAATTGAAATCTGCAGGTGGATCTGCCACCGACTCTAGTAATAAAATGTTTGAAGAATTCCAATCGTTGTTTAAATAAAACCCAAGGCAAAAAAAAAAAAAAAACACCACTTTACCGCATTTCTATATATGGAAATTTTGTTTTTTATTTTAATTTTATTTTTATTCTCTATTGAGTATTTAGAAAAATCTTTATTATTATTCTTTTTGTTTCTTTGTTTATTATTAGTTGTAGTGAGTTTTATATAATTAACACTTAATATTAGCTTTTGGAAATCCTTTGCGAAAATTCTCACATTTCGGTGTGGTAAATGTTATCGTCTTCATGCCTTCCATATCACCAATGGAGTTGCTACGTGGCTTAAATGTATAGACGGTATTATAGCTCAGTTTACTAAAGACCAATGAATCTTTCTGTAAATGAAAAAATAAGAAAAAAGAGAAAAACAAACAATTAAAACCAAATTAAATTAAAACTAAAGATTAAAGTCCATTTATTTTTGTAGGTTGTGAATCATTCATTCAAGCGCCTTCTTTCTTTGTTTATTGGCCAAATGATCGAGAATGGTTTTTATTTTGTAAACAAATCAAAACGTGTTCATTGCCCCATTGTTTTCACTGTCAAGTTCGTCGCCAAGTTTAACTGTCGCTTTGCCATTACCATTATTGTGGCTTCAAATTAAGCTCAGCAAAAAAATAGAACAATGTTCGTTCGTATCGTGTATCATTCATTATCATTCACAGATACTTACATTTACACGTATTGCATTGTATTCTCCTTCTTCGCAATTTGTTTGCAGTGGACAAAGTTCATATATTCTGTAAGAAGAAGACAAATATATATTTTTTATTTTCTTTAATAAATTAAACTATTACAGTCAAAATCGACCGGAAAACGTCTGTATCCAAAAGCCCGGAGAAAAGTTGTTTATAGTGACCAGATCCCCGGCCCCTGATCGTCGTTATACGCAATTTCGACATATTTGAATATATGGGGTCTGAAAATATTTTATATAGGTCCCTGTGTTTACATAACTCCCGTATAAAGGTCCCACTTTATTTAAGGATTTTGATGGTGTTATGTGCAAACATTTCTAGTTATTCGAAGGTAAACAAAATCTTTTTTAATATAGGTCATCCATACCGCCCTCCATACCGCATATGAAAAAAAAATCTCAAAGCCCGAGACCTCATTTTATTTTATAGAAAAAAAAATTCTCAGTACCGCTGGTCCAAGTTTTTTCTATAGAAAAAAATTCGCAGGACAACAGGTCTAAGTTTTTTTAATAGAAAAAAATCTCAGGATCCCAGGTCTAAGTTTTTTCTATAAAAATAATTCTCAGGACCGCCGGTTCAATTTTTTTCATAGAAAAACATTCTCAGGACCCCAGGTCCAAGTTTTTTCTATAAAAAAAAATCTTAAGGCGTCAGGTCCATTTTTTTCCTATAGAAAAGATTGAAAAGAACCACTGGTCTAAGTTTTTTCTATAGAAAAAAATTTCAGGATCCCAGGTCCAAGTTTTTTTCTGTAGAAAAAATTTTTCAGGATCCCAAGTCCAAGTTTTTTCTATGGAACAAAATTCTCAGGACGCCAGATTCAAGTTTTTTCTATAGAAAAAATTCTCAGGACCCCAGGTCCAAGTTTTTTCTATAGATGGGCGGATATTTTTAAATCGACTTCAAATTGTCTGAAACGGATTTGGTCCAAAAAATGATGAAAGGTCCTATATAGCGGTATTCCCGATTTTTCGATATGTTGGGGGTTGTTTAGCCATATAATACCTCCAATATCTGTTATTTTACCGATTTTTCGACAAGTTGCCTATAATTTGGTTTTCATCGGGTGTCAAATATTTCTATACGGTCACAAAATCTATTAAAAAGATCAACCAGCAAGAGAAAGTCAGCTGTTTTCTCTCAAGTCTAATTTCAAAAATTTGGACTTTGTTTACGTTGTTAGGAATTAATTCACAATAATGGATTTTGACAGCAAACTTATTAAAAACTTATTAATAGGTCTTGATTCCTACCAAAATTTACCATGGCATAACCCGCCCAAGATCTATTAAGGTCACCCAGGTAGCGAAAGTCAGCCATTAATTCTCGAGTCTTATGTCAAAAATTGGGATATCCGATATCCCTGCCTATTAATAATGTCATCCAGGAAGACCAGCTGGATATCAGCTGTTTTGCAAGTTTGCTTTCAAAATTCATTATTGCAAATTTTTGGCATTAGACTTGAAAAAATAGTTGACTGTGGCTTGCTAGATGACCATATAAGATATTGCCATGAGCCCGCCATTTATTAAGTTCCCGAACAATCCCTATTTATCAGGTCATCCAGAGAGACCAACAGGATATCAGCTGCCTCTCAAGTTTTCTGTCATAATCCATTATTGTGAATTGTTTTCCATTATGAATACGTAAACAAAGTCCAAATTTTTGACATTAGACTTGAGAAAAAAACTGCTGACTTTCTCTTGCTGGTTAACCTTATTAATAGATCTTGCCAATGTCAAAAATTTGGATTGGATTTGGACTTTTATTATGAAAATGTAAACACATAATAAAAGTCAATTCACAATAATGAATTTTGACAACAAACTTGAGAAGCAGCTGATATCCATTAATAGACATTGAACCCGCCATTTATTAAGATCCAGAACGTTTACTGACATTTTAAGTGTCCACCTCATGATGGAGGGTGTAAATAGTTCGGATCGTCTGATCTAATGGAGGTTTTACTTGTTTATTATATTTATTAACTTAATTGCGTTTTCTACTCACTTCTCCTCCTTCGGATGGAAGCCAGATATTACCACCAGCATTCCGAGTTTACGATTTAAGCGATATTTCACCTCAAATTTATCCTGGGATTTTGTGGGGCTTGTCGATGCTGCTGCCGAAGCAGATGCAACTGGCGATGAGGATGCAGATGACGAGGATGAATAAGTACTATTTTTTATAGACAACGATGATGTCGATGGTGTATCAGCCAATGGGGAAGCATCATTTAGAGAATATTTCTTCGCATAATATCTCTCATCGATCGATGATAGGGCATTGGCATTTATGGCATCATCGGTGGTGGCACGTGATGATAATTGCTGCTGCTGTTGTTGTTGTTCGCGACCACATTTAAGTGGTTCGAATGTTTGCGTTGGCACAATTGTGGTATTAAACAATATTGAGTGTTTATCCGATTTAAGGCGTTTGCGACCATTTATCGAAAAGGCTTGAACTTGTATATAGTAACTAGAATCAGGAAGTAGTTTTGTTATTTCGTACTGATGGCGCTGCAAGGGATTGAAATTTAAAAAAAATAAATAATATAAATTATTATTAAAAGTAAGTTTTTTTTTTGTAGTTGTGTTGTGCTCCAACTCACATCCTTTACATAGGCCTCACTCGATATAAAGGACTCATGTATTGCATACACATATAGTGACCAAATAACTTTATATTTTTCTATGGGTAAATTTGATTTCGAGGCACACCAAACAATTTTGATGGTCACCGATTTGCCATCGAAATGGGATGAGATAACCTTAAGGTCAGCTGGAGGTTTTGGTGGTTTAGGATCTGAAAGAAATTGAAAATGATAAAAAGAAGATCAATTTTTAAAAACAATTTCGATTAATAGAAGATTTTAGGTTCTCAACAGAGCAATAAATATTGATCATACGACATATAAGGCGTTTATTTTGAAAGTGACAAGACCTTGCTTCATATGGGTTGGGCGCCATTTTGAGACTTATTATTTTGTGTATTTTTGGCGGAATCGGAATGCAGCAAAACCGATTGACAATGAAGCCCTTTATTCCCAGCAATGCATTTCATGGATATTTTTGAATGGATATTTATGCAATTAGCGTTGGGCGCCATTTCGTAAAAAATATATTTTTTTGGATTTATGGCAGAAGGCTACGACCGGAATTGGTATTATTCTTGTCTTATAAATGTTCCTGGTTCGGAATATTTACTTATGTCATTAGCGTTGGGCCCCATTTTATGGGTTTTAAATTATCTAGAATACCAAGATGTGAAGATTCGAACTTATAATGTACATAAATCACTTTCAAAATAAACGACTCATATATTGTTCAAAGGCGCAACCAAATATTCAAAATAGCCTTTCGGAAAACCAAAATTATTTTGAAAAAATATATACTTACGATTTGGTAAAGTAAATGCTTGTGATGGTTCTGAATAACCACGAAAGCCATACGCATTTATAGCTGCCACACGCACCTGATACCAACGACCAGGTCTTAAATAAAATCCTACTGTGGTTCTGAAAGGGAATACAAAATATAAAAGAGGCAACATTATTTTCATCCATGTCTTCTCCATCCCTCTCTCCCTCGCAACGACACTTACAACATTCTATTTAAATCTAACACCTCTGCCAATAGTTCAACTGGCTGATACTGCCAGGCACTTAATTTACGCGGGGATAGCTGCGACCCAATGTGATGCCGAATCTCCACATGAAAATAGTATGACGAATTCGATTGTAATGTGATTTCGACTTTTAGCTCGCGGGCGATCAGCGTACACTTAAGTATCTTTGGTATTGGCGGCAGCAGACTGTCGTCACGCACACCAATCGGTTGCATGCACACCGGACCGCACGCCGAACTGCAACATTTCTGCACCTCGGGACAATCGAAATCATAGCTGCAGTTGTCCAGACAGGAGAGTTTCTGCAACGGCTGAATGTTGATATTTTGAAAGATGGCATTTTGCATGGCCGGACAATAGCCACGCCGCGGTGCTTTGATCATATCGATTTGACATTGTTTGCGACAGGCTTCACAATCGCTAAGGTAGCGCGCACCGCTCGAGCTGCCGCCGGTGCCGCTGTCCTGGCATTTGGCATAACATTGCAGTTCGAGAATTTTATCACGCACATCAATATTGCCGACATGCTGCATTTGGGATGATCGATAACCACCGCCGCCGCCTCCATTGCGACCATGATGGCGACACAAAGCCTTGGTGGGGGCATTAAGAATCCATAGCGTAATTAGTAGAATTTTTAACATAAATATATTTAACATTGTTTTATTAACACGCTTCGGCCGATGTTCGTTTTCGTTGCTCCTTCGTGTAGTTGACTTCTTATGGTGAAGGGTAGAATTTTGTTGAGGGGGATGCTTAATTTACAATTTCAACTTCATGATGTCCAGTTTGTTTTTTTTTTACTATAGAAACGAGAAAAAAATAAATGTTATTAGAAAAAATAGGGGATTAGATTTTGGAAGGAAACTGAGGAAACTCCTTTTTATAAATTTGAATTTCCTGCCATTGTAAGTATTCTGGCTTCGAATTTTAACTGAAGAAATACGATGATTCTATGCCTCGAAATTACTGCCAGCATCAACAGATTCACATAATCAATTTCAAAATGTTTGCGTATGCCATTAGCGTTGGGCGCCATCGAGACAAATTATATCTTTTTTGTTATTTTGGTTGTTATTCTTCGCAGCAAAACTGATTGAAAATGAAGACCTTGATGCTTCCGATGCATATTTCTAAATATCTTTAGGAATTTATATGTACGCAATTGTCGTTGGGCGCCAATTTGAGAAATGTTTAATATATTCTACGAAATAACTTCCTAACATCAATTCAGAATGTTAGCATTTCGAGACAAAATATATTTTGTGTTTTGGTATTTTGTGCGGCATTCTTCAGCAAAAACGATTGACAATGAAGACCTTGATCCCCAACAATGCTTCCCATGGATATTTCATAATATCTTAAGGAATATGTATGTGTGCAATCCTACGAACTAACTTCCCAGCATCAAAGGGGTTGGGCGCCATTTCGAGAGAAATTATTATTTGTGGTTTTTTGGTCCCATCAAGAAACCCGTGGTATAATCAGGAGTGTAGTAATGAAAAACGCAGCGTATATGGCAGTATCAACAATCTATGCAAGGTAGAATTTTCGGGAGAAATGGAGAGAGAAGAAACGTATTTTCAATAGAAAGAACAAAGAACAAGAAAAACGTCAGAATGAAGTCCGGAAATTTTACCAACAAGTAAAATACCAAACTGAAGGCTTTGGCGCATTCTCCTGTAGAAATGAAGATGGAAATCTAGTGACAGATACAGATATGTAGCGTGTTGAGGATTTGGAAGGAGCATATTGCAAAGCTTCTGGATTCAAATAGTTATGGCGAAGAAGTTACCCCAGAACCAATCAGGTATGTATTATAGAATGTATACCACCTAGCCAGATTAGAAAAGTAAGTAATTATGGTTGGGCGCCATTTGGACATAGTCTGCATAACAAAAACAATTTACAATGACTAAGAAAATTGAGATCTTGATCCTCAACAATGCTTCTCATGTGTGTATATTTCTGAATATTTTGAATAATATTTCAATATTCAATTATGGTTGGGCGCCATTTTGGAAAAAACAAATATTTTGTGGTTTTATGTATTTTTGGACATAGTCTTCATAACAAATTAGAATTTTTATTGGAATTTGTATTATTCTTGACCTTATCCCTTATACTTAGATCTCCAGCAATACATTAGGCAATTTCAATTGTCTCAATTGTTTAGTTCGTGGCGAGAGAATTGAGGGAAATGATAACACTCGTCATTGACATTTATTTCTCAGGGCCGTATCTAATTTATTGCGCTCCGTACAAAAATACTCACCATCTCACCATTATAGGGGTTGTTAGACGCCCGTATTATCCAAATACGCAAAGACTTTATTGGCATCTGTGCCAATTGAAAACGGCGAAAATCAACGAAAATATTTTTTTATTTGATCGAAAAATGTTTACATGTATAGAAAAACAAATTTTTGAATGACTGAAATTATATTTTCGAAAAAACAAAAAATTCAAAATACGCATTGTCAAAATTTCAACTTTATATTTTCATACGCAATGCGTATTTGGCTAGCATTCATTGAAATACACGAATTTAACTTTTGAGGTGAATAAAATCGTACGAATACGCATGAATTTAGGTACGACCCTCATAGTCATAAGTTTATTTTCAAAATATTTCACAAAATTTAAAATAAGAAAAATTCTTATTGTTTTCTTTAAAATCATAAAAACTATTCAAAATGTCCTCTCGAAAACCAACTAGTATACCCACAAGGAGAAGAAGAACATCTGGAAGAAGCAACACTCGCCGTCATTATAACATGGGAACACAAGTAACGGAACGTGATCTAATCGAAGCATTTGAAGAGAAATGCAATAACCCTCAAACGCCCTACGAAATACATCATCGAAATCGTATCAGTCGCAAAGAGAAAAAATATTCGAATATTTTTATGCGGGGTGTTCTTATGAAGGCTTCAGAGGAGATGTTACGACAATCGGTGTCATATGATTTTGCACCACCGACTATTAACAAGAATTGGCGTGTCATATAGAGAGAAAGAAAAATAATAAATTTTTATTTACATTTTTGAAATAATGCCAAGAAATGTTTAAAAAGTTCCATTGAAATGGTCCAACGAAGTGGTGAGTTTTTCAAAGCTCTTTGTTATTGTTGTTATAGAAGCTTTAATTGTGTTGCATTTTCTCCTGCTCAATCTGGTTCTGCTCCAGGTTCAAAGAGGCGAGGACTTCTATGTGTTGAGTCTATTTTGGGTTAGGTAAAGGGCTTGTATGGGTTTTGATTGACATATCCTTAACTGTACTTCTTAATGATCTTCTATAATGATATTTTTCTGATCAATTAAAAAATAAACTCTATTCCGGTCGTATGGGCCTCGTAAAAATAGTTTCATAAAATTCATGCTTGTGGCTCTATATACTGATCCTTGTCAAAAATATATATTAAAACAATCTTCGTTTATGCCCGCGCATTTTGTAAAAACTGTCCGCCGTTCAAACTTCTAAAAATAATCTTTAAAAATTCGCAGAGCTTTCGTTTAAAAAAAATGGCAAAAAATACACGTTTATATCTCTGAGGGTTCTTATCGAAAATATTGGTTGAAAATTCTCGTTGACCGCAGTTTCTTGTTGAAAATATTGTTTAAAAAATACGCTTAGATCTCAGTGGTTCCTTGTGAAAAGCCACGCTTACAGATCTGCAGGACCTGCTATATATTTTAAAATATTCTTTCAAAATCCCTACTTGTCCTTTTTAAAATATGCTTTCAAATTCAACGATCTTATTTATTAAATAATTCACTATTATGGCCCTACTGGTCCTTGTCGAAAATATATCTGCTTGCCCTTCCTAAAATACTTTTGTAAAAATCCACGCTAATGGAAAATGGAATGGTAGAAATTATTCTTCAAATATCCAAACTTGTTTTACAAAGGGAGCTTATAAAAACAGCAAAAAATGGACACACATGTCTCTGAGGGTCTTTGTCAAAAATATTCTGTAAAAATTTACTCGTATGTATCCAAGGACTCGTCGTAAAATGTTCTTTAGAAACTCCACAGGCATCTAAAAGTCCTCGAAAATGGTCTTAAACATCCATGTTTGCAAACATATTATTTAAAAATCCACGCTTATGTCTATGAGGATCCTTACAAAAACCTCCATCCATATGTCCTTGAGGGTCCTTGAAAAAAATTCTTAAAAAACCTAAAGGTCCTCGAAAACAAATATTCTTTATAAACCAACGCTTTTGCCTTTTTAAATAATAAACGCTTGTCAATGGGGTTCCTTGCAACAATATTCTTTGAAACATTCGCGTTAATGTCCTTGAGGGTCCTTGCATAAATATTCTTGGAAACTTCGCGCATATGCCTCTAAGGGTCCTCGTAAATATATCCTTTAAAAATTCAAGCTTATTGTCGAAAATATTCTTAAAAAATACACGTCTCTGAGAGAGCATTTAAAACAATTATTTAACAAATCCACACTTACGTCTCTGAGGGTCCTTATAAACAGGACGATTAAAAATACTCCTTAACTTCAACTATAGAACTCCCAGACTATCAGCTCGTCTAGAAAGACTCTATGACCCACATCTCGTCTATAAAAACTTCCTACCTTTTTTATTTATTATCCTACCCATAAGCTAATCTTTATAACACTCCCAGGCCCTCAGCTCTACGCAGACTCCCAAACAGTCTATAAATGCTTGCTGACTTTCAGCTCTTTGATAAAATCTCCCTAGCCTTCAGCTCGCCTAGAAATACTATCTAACTTTCTGCTCATCTATGAAGACTCCATGACCTTCAGATCGTCTATAATATGTCCCTGTCCTTTAGATCATCTATAAAGACTTCCTGGAATTCGGCTCGTCTAGATAGTCTCCCAGACCCTCAGCTCGTATATAAAAACTTCCTAACCATCAGCTCATGATGGTTAGGACTACCTATGAAGACTACCTGACTTTTAGCTCCCTAAAGGCTCCCTAAACTTAAGTTTGTCTATAAAGATTCTCAGATTTTAGTCGGATTTCATAAAGACTTCAAGACGTCTAGAAAGATTACCTGACCTTCAGCTCGTCTGAAAAAAAAACCACACCTCTAGCTTGCCTGTAAAGACTCCCTGATCAGCAGCATGTCTGGAAAAGTGCTCTGGTCTTTAGCTCATCTATTAAGAATCCCTGACTTTTAGTTGGACTTTGAATAGATTTCAACTTGTCTGATCCTTGGCAAACACCGAAATCCTCTTCATATCTTTCTGATCGTAATAAAATCTCCTTTCTCCTTCCTCGTCCTACCATTCCATATATGGTATTAATGGCCGACATCAAATTCCTCAACCAATCAAACATTAATGGACTTAATAGCAAATTTTTGCATTCCATTCCAGACTGACAGACTGATTCGCCGCTGATTCGTTTGTTATCTTTGTGACAGCGACAAACCGATCAATCTTTGAAGTGGAGTTGATCGGACAGTCGGATGGGATGAAATGGAATGAATTGACTGTTTCTGCTAGATTTCTGTCTGGTTTATATTTTCACCATAACAATTTTTATTAATACCTAAATGTTTGCTGGATGGAAACCTGTTGGCTGGCCGATTCTGATGGCGGCGATGGTGGAGCTGATGATTGGCCTCCTTCGGTGTTTTTCAAAAATATTCACGCATTCAGTTACTCATT